TACATTGATCGAGTACAGTGGACCCCAATTTTTTTATTTCGTTTACTTCATTCTTGTAACATCATTTTTTACATGATATATCATTTATGTAAAAATGAAGAAACTGATTTAGGCATATCACACAATACATTACATAAGTTATCCTCCTTAGATGTAGATATAACGATCAATATCGATTTCTCGATGAATGTGTAGTAAAGCTAAAGATGCTAGAGATATATTTTGCCCCATATATGTATTCAACCTTCTCAATGTATATAAACTGCACTCACATTCACAGCTTGTCACTGAAATGACAGCAAGCAGTTTATGTAATAAAACAAATATGTTTGAAACGTATGATTCATACTTTCAGTGCTGAACTTGATGCAACACACTGGAGTAAATAAGTTGATTGCAACAGGCTCTTCGACCTATACAACTCGTGATCGAACAATTTTGCTGATGGTAAATTTTCAACCCGTAGCTGTACACTAGTATTGTCCAATAAATAACACACTGGGCTACACGCAATAATACAATAAGTTGACTACATTTGCTGATTTATAAAAGGTTGCTATTCATTAAAAAAATGTCTTTTGATTGGCTGCTCTTCAGCCTCTCAGTTCAACACCAGCCAATCAATGCCGGCATAACTTCACGATTGATATTTAAAGCTCGTTGCCACCAAAATGCTCATTATTATGCAATTTCGGCTAAGCCTGATAGTTACCTCACTGAGTCAAGTGTTTTAAACGATGATAATTATTTTAATTATTACTGTTTGTTTTAATATGTACTAATCTACGATCATAAAAATATTCACTTCAAGAATTTAGGGGGTTCGACTGACCCCCCCCCCGAACCCCGCCCCGAACTACATGCCTGTGCCGGTCTTTGGTCTTTGTGGTTGTATTTTAGTCATTTCTGGTATATTTTTTATCATTAAATTAGTTATTTTCAAATACTAGGATTTTATCGACACTTGTGGGGGACGATACGTTGCGGTTATGGAAATGTAACGAAATATAGTATGCAAAATTATCTGCTACACAATCAGCACCAATCACCACAGAAAAACGACTTAATGAAAACTCAAAATATATTCACTGCTGGCAATCCGGAGACTTACAACTCGATATCAACGATATAACACAAATTGTAAGAATCATACAGAATTGGCAGTATGCCCTTGATATACATCGATAAATTCTTGGCCGTGTAAGAAAATTAGTGGGAAAACTTCTAATTGGATGAATATAAAAATTGAAACAAAAGAACACACTGCGGTGGTTTCTACCACGTTCGCATTCATGTCGTCTTCTCACTTCAGAATCCGTATTTTGCAACAATGTTATTGTATAAGTCAGAATACAGTATTATTGAACTTGTATAAAACGTAATGAATAAAGCGATTAACAAATATTGCATGTTTTAATTACAATGCTTCACAGATAAATGATTCAGAAATTACTCCGACAACACTGAAGAACTATGGTTTCTCCCATAGACTTGCGTAACACAAACGTTCGACGCCAAATGGCATAGCAAATAAAAGTCGATAAAAGTACACCGTTTACGTAACACTCACAAGCATTTATTTCTCGCTTTAATGGTTGGGATAAACGTGTTTGAGCTGTCATGCTACGGTATTTTTACATTCGTCATTGCGAATTGGTTTGTTTTGCCGATTGTACTATATAGTCTATGTTGTCTCACCTCAGTGATGCGAATTTACACAACGTACATTTCAAACAATACTTTTAATGAGAACCACTGCATAAACTTTATTAAAAATATACCTACAATGTATAAGACACGAGACGCTCTAACTACCTGTGTATTATAGAACATGTTCACTCTATGAAAACCGGTATGAAAATAACACGGTTAAACCTGATCATTAAATCGAATGCTTTGCGACTGTTGGATGTAAAATACTCACAACAATTAGAGAAAACTATTCCAGGAAGTCTCACTACTTACTCATTATTGAAATTAAATAAATTAGATGAGAAAAACATTTCATTTTCACATAATGTACTACCGTTATTTTGGTGTTGAATCGTGTAAACTGTGATGCTATCAAACAGATAATGAGCATCCATGGCGAGATTTCGTTCAGCACTGCGCCCCTTACGGGCTAAAGTCGTAAACCTTTCGACTATGTCACATGTCAATGTTGACGATTTCTCATTGGCTCTTCATTTTAAAGGTGGTAAATTCGTATTTTGAGTTTGCTTCATAGATGGTTGTTTAGTTCGTGGTTCCATACAAAGACATTTAGAGTATCTGGTAAGTTGAATATGTTCAGCAAGCTGTACGGCGTAGCTGCATTCTGCGTAACATACATATTATTATTGTCGGTTTGCTATTTTTAAAAGATGAAATCTGTAACTCCGTGTTCGGTTTCGCCGTTCGCTAAATTTCCCGGGAACAAAACAAAAAGAAATAATTCAAATTTACGCCGATGGGTTTATGTTCGTAGCCCCGAACTGGACAAAGACTACGTCACACGAGTGAATAGCGATGGGTCTTTCGCCGTCGTGGGTGAAAGACCGAGAACTCCGGAAGTCAGTTATTAGGAAAATTTTAAAAAATATATTCTCCATGGGTGTTCGCTTCGCTTCAAGGGACTGTGGCACAATGCACTGAGGTTGCAGGCTACACAGCTGTTTCTACTATCAATGCATCGCTGTTTAGCCCCGACTGTTCTGCATGCAGTGTTTTATTGTTGATGTTGTAACCATATCAACGAGATGTATCGGCTGGTATCTAGTGTAAGAAATAAACGAGGGATGAAGGCTCCAGTGAGCCCATATTTTTTTTCAACTTTGGGGGGGGTAAAAACAGACGAAAAGAATGCACTACAAGTCTAATTTTAAAATGCAGAGAACAAATGCAGTTGTTGCAACATCGCAAATAATAATAATAATAATGTATTTTGTAACTGCAAGTAGATATGCTTGCAACTCGGTTTTGTGAATCTTTGAAACTTTGATATAGCAGTGAATTGTTTGTATTAATAATTGTAAAATCATTTTGAGCATATTCAGTGTTTTAATTTGTCAAGAAAACAATGAACTGTATTGTTATTTTTCAGCAAAAAATAGTGAATTTAAAACCCAGTGAATAATTAATGCATTTTACAATAACTATTGATTTCATTTTTTGAAAAGCTTACTATATTATATTCCAAATATAGTTACAAGCTGTATTTGTTCAATTGTCCACAAAAGTGTGTATTTGCCAGGGTGACAGTTATAACCATGTCGTAACTAGTTTATGTTATCAGCTATTCAGACAGTCAGTTAAAATCAGATATGGTAACAGTAATTATTTTATCTTATCTAACGTTTTTCACTGAAATGATTGATAAGCGTGTTTGCATAAATCATTCTACAATACACATACATGAATATAATCTGTCTTTTTTTGGTGATATCAGAATTTGCCAGCATGGAGGTAACACCAGTTTATTATGTTCAACTCTTGGATGATAATTATCTGACTGCTACTTTGGAAATGTTAATAAACCGTCCAGAATTCACAAGCTCAATAGGTAGGTTGAATACGTTCACTGGATTGGGACTTAGGCCATCAGTACACCAGGGTAATTATTCCTATGCCCTGCCATGTTAAGGTTGGGAGAAGAAAAAAAATGTGAAGTCTGTACTTATCTGTAAATTATCGTAATAATAATATAGCAACAACATGAATATTTATTTGAATCCAACTAGTTATTTCAAAACAGGTATTGTAAAAAGTCAAAAATGAGCCATGTTATGGTATCTTTGGAGATGACATCGCAATTTTGGATTAAGAATATTAACCAATCAGTTCATTGGTAGTCCATTGTATTTCGGAAGTGTGGTATTAAAAGTATTCAATAGAATTTATCAATAGGCTGGATAAAGATAAATTAACTTATGGAATTGTCAATATCCATAGCAGTCTGTGTTAAAGTATTATTTCACCAAAATTAAATAGTTTTTATCAAATTTTTGTTGTAAACCCACATAAATTGTGGTATTCAGCATAAAACATTTTTAGCATAGAAAACAAGCTTAAATGCGCCAATGTGTTAAGCTCACTTCAGATGTTGAGTATTTAAGCTGCTCTGTTTTAGCTTTACACACCTCTTCATTTAATAATCCTGTACCGTTGTCTTCTTATTTCAGATACAAATGTAATTATACTAAGCGATACTACGATAGAAGAAGATAAACTCGATAACATCAAGACTTTTACTATACCTGGCTATTTTATTGACTTGTATCGTAGGCATGATTTAGGCAAAAATGAACGGGAAACTGTTTTAAGCCATGAAGATTACTTAATAGCAATACAATTGATATTAGCGGAGTACAATAAGCAGGTGAGTGTACAGTGATCAGTCGTTGATACATTTGCACCATGAACAAACGTTGATGACCTTTAACCGACCTCGTCTGTGCAACTGTTCCTATGTCATTTACTAAGATAATATATATGTGTAGTGTGTAACCACCAAAGTCGTTGGCATTCCTAGACTTGATTAATTTGTCAATTGGTAACAGACATATTTCCAGTGTCATAATGTTTAATAAGGCTGCCTTTAAGAAAAAACATTTAACCTTTATTGGGACTCGTTATTGGTGACCTTTATGTACAGGTCAAAATAATGTACATTACCTTAAAACAAAAAAAAAGGGTTTTGCTTCTCACTATCGCACATGTTTGAATCTGCACCTCACAGAGGTTTTTCTAAACTGCGGAACAGTGGCACAGCGCCCTGATACTCGTGGCTGGCATCCTCTTATCAAATTGTTGATTGATTGAACTTTAAGTCATAAATATATTTCTTGAGCCACGCACTTCCGTGCTGCCGTACAACATGAAATTTTCTCAAATATATTTTTCTCTTGTGAAAACTTCCAGCAACACAAGCTGA